GTGAATGCTTTCACGGCCGTCGCGAGCAAAGGCGGGAAAGTATACTGATCTCTCGGGCAGCTAGTGCTTTTTCACGTGATTTCGTCAGTGCGCATGATGACGAGGCAGAACTGATATTTAAAACTAATTATAATCTTTGTGAAACGTTCTCTATGTAATACAGTATAATAGTATGATATGATATCAAAACCTTTCATTTGAAATAATCTCTTTAAATTGATCTACAAATACGCATTGGTAAATATGAAATATTTTCATTTTTCTTGAACAACAAAATCAAAAAAATAATTAGCATTCTCCTTTTTTTATGAATGAACATTCAGCACTTCGACAGTAATCAAAACACCCATTGGGATGTGCAAAACAAAGAAAAGTCAAGCTTGACAGGCTGCATTCCTTTTGTTTTTGAGGTTGTTTACATTCTTTTGCCATCCAGTATGGCGGATTTTGTACCATGTGACCGTTTCATGCAAAAGGCCTATTGCCATGCTTTAGCTGGACTTTTCGAGCTGGAAATGTCGAGATGATTCGGCGGTTTAATGCTCACATGGACTGACGACGCATGTGATGAAATATCTTGTTTTGAAGCTGAAGCTCCCTTATTCGTTGCTTTTCCGTCTGACATAATCCTTGTAGTGTCTTCCTTTTACCGGCTGCCACCATGTAACAAGATGAGGCTTAACAATCGACGCTTAAACAAGGCTTTAATCTCCTGAACTAAACGATTACACAATCATACTAAAACTGAACTCGAACTGCATAAATTAACACATACGGGACATTGTGTCACGCAATAACGTTATGTTCATATTGTTACAATTCTTCTTCAACTAGTAGGTTTTTTTGACACAAAATTCGGAAGCACATTCCATATCCAAGGCTTCTCTACATACATTAACTTCGTTATTCTCTATTATTGCTTGACATAAGTTGTTCYATTTTGGTAGTACAGATACYGGCGTTATTCCAAGAGGGGAGTAGCATATAATCTGATAGGATATTTGTGGGAAAGAAATGGGACAGCCATTATCAATAATGGGGACGTTTTGAGCGCTTCTTTGACCGAACTGTAGGCCTAATCGACTTTTGGGTGTTTTATCCCGTGTTTGGTTAACTGCATCAGATTTATTCCCTTCCTACAAAATAATAAAAGTACCAAATACAGGTCTAAGTACGGTAGGAATACTGCAATACTAAATGCAGAGAAATTGTACCAACCTTTCGTGAAATAGCGGTCAAAGTTTTTCTTATGGGAGAACTTGCCCTTTTTGGTATTGGCCGAATGGGCGAGAATATTCGTGGCGCTTTTCTTGCTGGAGAATTAACTCGTACGGGTCTTTCGGGAGTTTGGGGTGTTTATTGAGAGAGGACTCTGCATGTGTAGGTTTCTTGTTCTTTTTTATTCTTTCCGATTTTAATTTGTAATTTCTGCAACAGTACCGCGACAGAGACGAGTTTTTTTACGCTTTGCCTATATACTTCATAAAAAAGTCAAGCTACTTCAGTGTAATCACCGTAAGCACTATAGAGAACTGAACGCCTGGCTGGAGCGCAAGTTTTAGTGCAAAACCTGCAAGCCGAAGCTGCCGCCATTATTTTTCGAATTTTTGACAGAATATAGCGTGCACGTGAAGTAAACAAACCACTGACCATTATAAATTGCGGGCTCTCAAAATTCAACTTTATTCTGATTGGCTGGTCCTGCACATGCGCATGCAAGTTATACTGGACTCTCTTTTCCCCAGCGATTCCGCGAGCGTCGGAAACGAGAGGCCAGGAATGGACTAGATCTTTCCAAGATCTTAGCTAGCTGTCCGGCGCGATCCCAAATTGACCAATCACAGCGCGTTCGAATGGCTGGCCGAGCGGCCCTCGAACCCAGATCATTTTTAGTATGATAATACCCGGCCATAAAACAGAGGCCATGGTTAGAATGTAGCGTTTGTTGTTTGTTTTACGTAAAATTGGTTAAATCTTTCGAAAGTGAAGTGATCATTGCAGGAAAACATTCATTTCTGGAACTGGGCTACGCTTCAGATGTTAGTCCCTTGTAAATCTTCATTTTTTAAGTGGATTATGAGAGACCGAAAGTTCGAACATCATGTCCATTCACTTGCCTGGTCAAGAAGAATATTTACTCTTCTTTACGGTTATTCTGCATTCGCTTCATCAAAAGTGCTTTAAAATGATTATAGAGGCCTTTGTACAAGCTGATGGCTGTTTGAACATCGCTGCATTCAGTGAATGTTTTGACTGCTTGTTGCGCTGCTAGTACAAGTGTGGGATCACGAAGCAGTGGATAGTTTTCATGAGGTTCAACATGGAAATATTTTCCGTCGTAACTTGACTGAAGTCCCATTTCAAGAGCTCTTTGGAGGAGACGATTCTTTGATAGTAAGGTCAAGAGATTGGTAGATGACTTTCTTGCATTTGATTTGTCCAAGAGAGTAAGCTGAATTCGGCAAGGA